GGAGCGTTCGAAGCGGCTTACGCCACACAATGCTTCTTCGAGGAAGCACATGATGCAGGGGAGCCTTGCGCGGGCATCACCCTTGACCTTGTCAAATGCTTTAACGCAATAAATAGGTCTCGGGGTACCGCCATCCTGCGTCACCTAGGGGTGCCGGAATCCATCTTGGCTCAATGGTCAGGCTCACTTGCTCGCCTGTCAAGAAGGCGGGAAGTCTTAGGTCAGTGCTCAGACGCCATTCATAGCAGTTGCGGATTTCCAGAGGGGGATGTCTTCTCTGTTCTGGTTATGCTGGGGGTTGCCCAATGTTGGACCGCAGCATGTAGAACTTGCACCTCCACCCACTCTCTAATTTCCGCTTATGCTGATAACTGGGCTTGGGCGGTTAAAGATGTTCTTGACATTGAGCCTATTTTGGATGTGACCATGCGTTGGACAACCATTATTGGTCTCCAAATTGACTGGTCGAAGACCTGGTGGTGGACGTCACACTCCCACCTTGCCAGCTGCGGAGGGCCTTTGATCGCCTTAAACTTCCCGAGATAGCTAAAGTCCAAGCTGCCAGTGATCTTGGTTGTCCGCTCCGATATCAAGGCGCAGCTCGCATGTGTAAGCTTCATGATAGATTGTGTAAGGCCAAAGAGAGATTAGCCAGGCTTAAGACCTCTCATGTGGACATCGATGTCAAAGCACAAGTCATTTCTGCCAGTGTCTACCCTGTGGCTTTCCATGGAAGTGAGCTTTTCCCTGTCGGCCAACAGCATACCCGTTCGCTTCGATACCATGTGGCTGAAGCCTTGGTTGGCCCTTCCGAGAGTATGGCCTCTGCCTTGGTCACTATGTGCGCCTCCAAATATGTGAGACCATATGATTCTCTCTGCCTGTGCGGCAGCCAGACGATTCTTATTTGCCCGGGACAGCAGGCAGCACAGTCGATTTTTTAAACTTGTTTCGCAATATATGCCCAAGCCCAATACCTCCAAGGGTCCCGCCTCTACGCTTAAGACCTACTTGGTTAGGTTAGGCTGGTGCATGAATGATCAAGGCCTCATTCAGGTTTCTGCCTTTGTCAAACTAAGCTTCTTGAAGTGCCCTTGGAAGAGCTTGGTTTGGTTCGCGGAACGATCTTGGCAAGATCGGCTTTTGCTCTTGCACTCTCATCGTCGGTCTTTGATCAATTTCCCCAATGTTGATCAACACCTTACTCGTCAGGTTATTTCTCGATTTTCGGCCAATGAGAGACGCATCCTGATTCGTGAGATCGCTGGGGCTTACCAGACCCGCAGTCAGCAGGCCATTTGGGACGATCAGGTGACGCCAGACTGTCCTTGGTGTGGTCAGGAAGATACTAAATATCATAAGTTCTTCGTCTGTGCAGCCACACAGCACATCCGTGAGCCTTTTCAGAAGTTGATTCAGACACTGACAGACGAGGACACTTTGTTACCTGAATTGCCCGTCATTTTTGAATCAGCTGAGGATGAATTTCGATTCACATTCCAGTATGCCATCCAGCCACGTGTGTCTGATCCCTCACTCATCGAGGCGTTGCAGGAGTGTGTTTCAGAACTTTCCCCTTTGCACGTGTACACTGATGGTAGCTGCCTACATCCTAATTTGCCGTCTTTGCGATTTGCTGGTTTTAGTGTGGTGGTAGATTCTTGTCATAGTGATGCTGAACGCTGTTGGCATGCGCAAAGATTCAAAGAGACAGGAATGACACCCCCCACCTTGCATGTGATCATCCAGGAACTCTGCCCACAGGCTCAAACAATTCACCATGCGGAGCTTCGGGCTGTTGTTCGTGCTAGTGAACTCTTTCGTCATGCAGTCATCCATGTCGATTCTTCTAGTGCTATCTCTACATTTGTTGCTGCTCCATCTGTGAAGGGGGTTCATTTGCACAGGCACCCGCATCCAGAGCTGTGTCTCCACATCCAACAGCTTGTTAATGCTCACACTAATAGGATTGTTAAGATTAAGGCCCACACTAAGCCGGGTGAGTTAACGGATTTGCTCTGCTATCATGCCCTGGGCAATATGGTTGCTGATCAGGCAGCATCAGAGGTTTGTACTTCCTGCCATCCTCTGCTTACAGATGCCTGGAGCAAGCACATCCTTGAACGTCAGCATGAGATGGAGGAACTTGAGCAATTCTACCGGCTTTCGTTGGCCCTGCAAACCTATCGCAAGATCCATGAGCAACATGTCCCAGCTTCGTTTAATCCTATGGAACCCCACCCTATGAGACAGGCGGCTCACTTTTCCGCCCTTTGCTCTAATTGGACAGTTGACAACCCATGGACCCTCGAGGTCCCTGCCATTCAGGCCCAAAACTACTTTGAGCACTCCTATTGGGGTACTTCCATGATGCAGTGTTTGCTTGATTGGGCGGGACGGCTTCAGTGGCCCAACAGGGACCACCGTTCAGACTCCGCGGACATGGGTGTTTCTTGGATGGAGTTGGTTCTTAGCTTTATGCTGTTCAGCCAGTGTTATCTGCCTGTCCATCGGAGAACCCCTCCGGATAGACATAGTTTCGCTTGGGCTAGGAATGATACTGAAGCTCATGCCTTTAGCTATTCTTGGAATGAAATTGCCACACAATTTGCATCCATTTTTAGCCAATTTACTTCCTTGTGCGGACATGATGTGGTGCCTGCACATGCGAAGCGAGCTCGGATTTGCGCCTTGTACCGTCAGGGTGCTGGCAGTTGTGTTTTTGGATTGAAACCTAGACCTGCATTTCCACACCAGGCACAGGTCGCAGAAATTGTAAAAGTGGCATTCCAGAAGAACTTTAGAGCTTGTGCCTATAATTGGTGGCCACCCATTGACTTGTCATCTCATCCGGGCGCTTACTCGTTTCAATGGCAACCCCCAGTTGAACCCTGGCATAGACTCCAGAAGATTCTCAAAGATGGTTCTCGAAAAGCCCGCTTGTTGCGGACTTCTTTGCTTCCTTCCTGATGATCGTCATCCTGATCCTCCTTGTCATCCTCTCCTTTTGCAGATTTTTCACTGTAGCCGTCTTCAGACTCTGTCACTCAGCCCCTCTCCCGCCACCTGTGCCAGGGAAGGCCTTTATGCAAGGAAAAGCCTTTGCTAGTAGGTTGGAGGCCATCACTAATTAGTAGGTTGAAGGCCATCGCTCTTAGGCTTGAGGCCATTGCTAGTAGGTTGGAGGCCATCGCTCTTAGGCTGGAGGCCTTTGCTAGTAGGTTGGAGGCCATCACTAATTAGTAGGTTGAAGGCCATCGCTCTTAGGCTTGAGGCCATTGCTAGTAGGTTGGAGGCCATCGCTGGTAGGTTGGAGGCCATCGCTAGTAGGTTGAAGGCAATCGCTCTTAGGCTGGAGGCCATTACTAGTAGGTTGGAGGCCATCGCTCTTGGGATGGAGACCATCACTCTTAGGCTGGAGGCCTAGTAGGTTGGAGGCCATCGCTAGTAGGTTGGAGGCCACCGCTCTTAGGCTGGAGGCGATCTCTCCGGTCCTAGGCTGGAGGCCATCGCTAGTAATCGGTAATAGGTTAGAGGCCATTGCTAGGGCCATACTATCAGGTTGGAGGCCATCGCTAGTAGGTTGGAGACCACCGCTATTAGGTTCGAGGCCATGGGCCATGGCTAATTTGGTTGGTGGCCATCGTGGAGGCCATCGCTACTAGGTTGGAGGCCATCGCTAGTAGGTTGGAGGCCATCGCTCTTAGGCTGGAGGCCATCGCTAGTAGGTTGGAGGCCACCGCTATTAGGTTAGAGGCCATCGATAGTAGGTTGGAGGCCATTGCTCTTAGGCTGGAGGCCATCGCAAGTTGTTTGGAGGCCATCGATAGTAGGTTGGAGGCCATCGTTAGTAGGTTGGGGGCCATCGCTATTAGGTTGGAGGCCATTGCTATTTGTTTGGGGGCCATCGCTAATAGGTTGGAGACCATTGCTAGTAGGTTGGAGGCCACCGCTATTAGGTTAGAGGCCATTGCTATTTGGTTGGTGGCCTTCGCTCTTAGGTTGCAGGCCATCGCTAGTAGGTTGGAGGCGATCGGTCTTAGGTTGCAGGCCATCGCTAGTAGGTTGGAGGCCATCGCTACTAGGTTGGAGGTCATCGCTATTATAATTGGAGGCCATCGCTCTTAGGTGGAGGCCATTGCTAGTACGTTGCAGGCAATCGCTAGTAGGTTGGAGGCCACCGCTACTATAGGTTAGAGGCCATTGCGACTTGGTTGGAGGCCATCGTTTTTAGGTTGGAGGTAGGTTGGAGGCCATTGCTATTTGGCTGGAGGCCATCGCTCTTGGGCTGGAGGCCATGGCTCTGAGGCTGAAGGCCATCGCTAGTAGGTTGCAGGCAATTTCTAGTAGGTTGGAGGCCACCGCTACTAGGTTAGAGGCCATTGCGATTTGGTTGGAGGCCATCGTTTTTAGGTTGGAGGTAGGTTGGAGGCCATTGCTATTTGGTTGGAGGCTGGAGGCCATCGCTCTTGGGCTGGAGGCCATGGCTCTTAGGCTGGAGGCCATCGCTAGTAGGTTGCAAGCAATCACTAGTAGGTTGGAGGCCACCGCTACTAGGTTAGAGGCCATTGCGATTTGGTTGGAGGCCATCGCTATTAGTTTGGAGGCCTCGCTAGTAGGTTGGAGGCCATCGCTCTTAGACTTAACGCAAAACATTCAGTCCCAGACCATCCACCCAAACACTCCATGGGACTGGAAATGACTGGAATATATATATACATACATTGACCCCTGAAACCACCCCAATGTCATAGAAAGGCCTTTATTTTGGACCTTCTACCTCTAGAATTAGGATTCACCTTTTGAACACCTTTATTAGCCTTCAATGACTATCCATCAATGGTTCACCTGGTTTTGTAGTGTAGAATCCTTGGCAAAACAATGGTTCGTTGGTCAAAGACCATTTAAATCCATGGCTGTTGGAATCCGGCATGGAGAAGCTGAGCCAGCCTTCTCCCATGCCAGGCTCTCGGACACTCTGCCCACACCCACCAAGCAGCATGGCATTCCCTGTGGGCTCCGCTTGCTGCACAGGCCAGTCGCTGCTGCGCACCTCCTCACCTGCGAGGCAGCTAGACGGAAGAAAGACCGCAAGGTGGAAGGAAGGTGTTGAAGGCATGCGAAGAACGCGCGAATATCAGAACACCTATGATTTTGGACCTTCATTTGGAACCGGATTTCGGATGACCATGAAATCCGAAGGCCAAACAGCTCCAATTCCATGTGAGTGTAGACTCAGTGTAGACCAAATTTGTTTTGTGTGTGGGTCCAGTGTCACCAGGTTCAGTCTTTGGTGATGATATGAACAGGCTTGCGCAGGGCTCCAACTGGATCCATTTGTGGTCCAACCGGGCAAGAATAGAAACACACATCCCCCCGGCTTCACACCTAGGGAGGCTATGGAAAAATAGACGTCATCCTAAAGCAAAGCCGGGATTTGCACATCTTTGGCACTGCAATAAGGTCTAGCTAATTCTATATATATATATTTATTCTTTTGTTCGAGTTGCTGTTGGACCGACGGTTTGGAAGAACGTTTGGTGCAAAGGCATATTCTAAATTCCACAGGTTTGGCACCTCCCCCCCCACGGACATCAAAACAAATCGAGCGAATCACACAAGCAGCTGCAGGAGGTTCATGCATCAACAACAGCAGCTGCTTTTCAGGAGCAAGAGGAGAGGAAAAACCTTTCCAAATCCCCCCGCCCCCAACTTTCACCACGTCCAAGATCCTGGATTGCAACCTGGAAATCACCCGCCCTGCTCGTGAGAAGCTCCCGACATGTTCGCCTTTAGTTCGCCCCTCCCCCCCCGCCCTTCTCGCCCTACTCTCTCTCGCTGCCTTTCAAAGGCTGGCGACTCTCCAAATCCATGGCGCTCGTTTTACGGCGCGCAACGGCTACGCCAACGGCTTCTGTGCCGTATACGGCGCGGGCGCGGTGCGGCTTCTGTGAACCAGACAGCAGAAAAAAGACGTGTTTTCTCACGCAGTGCAAAAGGCTCAGATCCCAATCTCCCCCCAAAAGAGGTTGTTCTCCTTGTGACGAGTAAGCATGAAGGGGCAAAGTTCCAGAGGTATCTCTGCCAAAGAAGAAGAACATTGGTAGAGAAACAAAAATCCGGATACCGTTTTCTTCCAAAACACTTAAAAACAATCCGATTTTGTGCAAAAACAAATCCAACGGTAGCATTCATCTGGATCGGCACCTACTGTGGCTAGCTCCCAACGTGGACCCAGGGTTGTTCGAAGTTGAGAGGCGCCTGGACCAAATCAAAAACCGTTCAGGAAGAAACTTGGAGAAACCTGTTTCAAATCTGTTCATGTATAGAAACTTATATATATATATATCAAAAAACCGTTTCCTTGTCATTTCTCCAACTTTGTTTCGTTTCAACATCTGTTGTAATTATGTCTTAGTCCTTAGTCCATCCTTCCCTTTACCATATCCACAAGTCAGGCTGTGACGCTTCACTTGTGGTTTCCAAAGATGGTTCGCTTGCTTCGCAGAGCATGGGATCAGGGTCTGAAGTCACGGATGTGAACTGGTGGACATGGACGCACGGACGCACCCACCGAAAAGTGATCTCACGACCACAAATGTGTTCAGTCGTTACCCTGCAAAACCTACCCAGGCTCATTGAGATGTAGAAGAAAACCGGGTTTTCGTGAGAACCAATTATGATTTGCATCGAATACTCATCTGTCAACGTATCAAGATTCCAAACTCACACATCAATCGCTCAACCTCCATCTAGGGACCCCACCAACAAGCTCTCGCAATATGCGAGGCCTTGGCAGGAACCGGACGTACAAGAAATATTTGGCGCATCAGAGATCCACACATGGGGGGTGGTCCAAAATTAGATCTGAGACGGGTCCGATCACCGTGCCTATGGGGATCTCTACGCGGACCAAAACGTACCCATCACCGTGCCTCTCATGTCACTGATGGGCAAGACCTCTTTTTCGACCGAAGGGACCAACCTCTTGGGCATGGTGGAAGAGATGGCACCCAGAACCAGAACCATCCAGAACCTCTTTCCAGTTTGAAGCAACCATGGGAACAGGCCGACCCAAACCACGAATCCAATGCACATGTGCGACGGTCAAAACTCCTTCTGTGTGGTAAGGTCACGGGTATCGCCTTCAAGTGGTAGCGCTACACACAGCGCCAGGCCAATCCCAATGGTACGGTGACAATCACATGCACCAAACGTCGCTCTCTTACGATCCCCACGCACATGCCACACAAACTGCCTCCTCGCACCTTGAAAGTACTGCGCCTGCCAACACCTTGAGATGTCTAGCAAATTTGCACGCGCAGACTGGACGCTGTCCCTCAAAACTCAAACCGTCTATTGAGACTTATTACGGGCCGGGAATGGCAAGCACCAACCAAAGCAAAACGAAATCAAGGGAAGCAAAAGCTCCACACAGGGAAGAGAAAACACCCTCCCCCACGAAAACAGAGCTTCGAGGCAAGCGCTCCAAGAGCAAATCCCTGTAGCACAGCAACACCGCGACACACTCCAAAAGACCACCCTGAGAACGTCAATCCCAATGACAGGCGACGCAAAGTGCTGACCTCACAAAAGACTGCACCTGCGCAGCAATATCGACACTTGGACTTGTTCAGTTTCTGTACAATTTTGCACTTCATGCTTCCATCCAAGACCTCCTCCAAAAGCTTCCTCCAATAGGAAGGCCATTTCTTCACATGCAAACGGTCGCCAAGGGTTGCGAACAATGCTCTGGGCCCCAGGCCCCAGAGTCAAATGAGAATCCTTCGCCTCATGTTACTGGAGTTGCTCATACAAAAACACTACTCAAGGAGGCAAACAACCAGGTTTTACTGGGTCATTGGACTGGTATATGTTTCAGAGCTGGGCAGAGCGGATCATCGGTGCTTGTCGTACGAATATGGGATGTTGGGATACCCCATGAATTCATAAAGGCAGAATAACACCCAAGCGACTCACTCACCACATCCAAGGGGCAACAGATGGAAGAAGGGGAAGAACATGAGGCATCTCTTCTTCGAATCACCCGGCGAAACTCAGGGTGTCGCCGCAGTGTGCGTCGTTGGGGTCCCGAAAGCGTCGGACGGGCGTCGTTTCCGAACCGAACGAAGCCGTCGTTTCCGGTGCGACTGGAATGACATGGAAATGAATCGGATCGAAATCCCCCCTTTGTGTGAAAAAAACGGATCGAAATCTTCATCAAACTGAGTTGCCTGGGCCCTCGTCCTCCTTGTGAGACCTTGGCAACTTGGACGACGGCGATTGGCCAAGAACAGGCCAGGAACTGTTGCCATTTGTGGGAGGGTTCAATTGACACGTCGTTTGGTTGCATTCAGGAAATAACAACAACTGAACATACACAAACCCACACACACACACACGATGGAATTTGAACTCAGGGTTTTGAGGGGGAACTTCACATAAATTGATGACCCTATTTCACGCTTACTATCGGGAAAAAGACCTTACATACTTGCTCTTGGCCATCTCCATGGCAAAAAGTGCTACCGACGTACAAGTTTCAGGGGCTCCTTAGCACAATAGACCTGCTGGAGACCTTTTGCTTGGCTGGGGCAACTCCAGTTTTCTTGGGTACTGTCATTTGACACTGACTTGCAATTAGGTGCCTTAAACTGACCCAAACATGATGAAATTGTTGTCATATGACTTGTTATGACTTGTTAACTTGATACGACTTCTCAGGTCGTTCGTGGAGCATTTCGAGATGAACAGGCTGCCTGGCATCTCATCAGACTTGAGGCCAGAGGGGGTGAACGAAAGCTAGCCGGGCTTCCGGTGGTCTGTTGCTGGTGCTGCTGCTGCTGGTGCTGCTGCTGCTCTGCAGGCGCCGGGTCGTCTGCTGCTGCTGCTGCTGCTGCTGGCGCTGGGTGGTCTGCTGCGGCTGCTGCTGCCGCGGCGTTGGGTATGCTGCTGCCGCTGCTGCTGCCGCCGCTGGGTGGTCTGCTGCTGCTGCTGGTGCTGCTGCTGCTGCCGCTGCTGCCGCTGCTGCGCTGGGCGCTGCAGATGCTTGGTGTGCTGCAGCTGCTTGGTGGTCCCGCTCACCGCGCGCAGGGGGGAGTCGAACCGCGGGGGGGGGGG